AGCTATAGATAAGTGCGCAAGTTTTTGCAAGTGCAATCTACTATCAGCCATACTTTCTAAAATATTCATTTCAAGGTGCAGCAGACCTCTAAAGTCAGCTTGGTCATTTGCTTAAAAGAAGGGAACTCCAACAGAAAACCTACAATCTTGTATCATTGTCATCACTAGACCATGACTAATGAATCATTGGATAATACACACATGGCACTCTAAAAACTTTGCAGGCTGGAGCACTATTTACATCTTCTAGAACTGATAAAGCGCACAGTCATGAAGACCGATGTTAAGGCATGATGTAAAGTCAGGATTTGGGGTTATCAGCAATTAAATAAGAAAAGGAAATATCAATATTATTTCTATTCTGTTAGATCTGTTGTTGTAAGAAATCATTGCTTGCAAATATAAAACTTACAGGTCGAACATACAGAAAAGTAGTTTTGGGAGCTCTTTAACAACTTGTGGTAAAATTGCATAGAAAACCAGAATAAAAAAAAGAAAAAGAAAAAAAGACATGCACAAAACAGGACAGGAAATTAGCAATTGGTCATTATATGTCAGAAAATATAATGCTCTGAAATTGAGCAGTTTTTTTTTGGCGGGGGGGCACTTTTTTTTAGCATACTTTCTTAGGAGTTGCTTACTTTTCAATTTACTATATTGATAGATAGACATTATATATATCATAATTAAGTAATTCATTGAGTCTAGAAGAAACCTCAACAGAATGCAGAAAGCATTGGATAGCCGTTTTGTCCTATATTTGAGCAGCTTGGGGATAGTAGTAGCTCATGGAGGCACAGTCATATGGGTAAAGCGAAACTGAGGAGTTCCATGACAGAATATGTGGTTACCTCTTCATCACAGTGGCTCATTGGTACAGTTGGTATGGTGTTTTCCTGATAACATAACTGTTCGGGATTTAATTCTTGGTAGTGGATGCACACTGCTGAGGAGTCCCAAATATAGGATGAAACGACTGTCAAGTGCTTTCTGCATTCTGTTGAAGTTTTCTAGACTTGAATTAGGATTATTTCAAATCCTCATTAGAGATTATATAAGGAAGGATGTGCAGGTGGTATAAATAATAACTGCTTTGAATGAAAAACCAGAGAGCAGTTTTGTTTTTTTAAATTCCAGGAAAGTTCATTTCATTCCAGGAAAGGTATGAATTCAACTGTCACCCCTTAGTTATGGGTTAAAATGGTAGGGATAGATTGGATCTTTAACCTTGGGTGGGCAACTAAGAGATGACAACTGAATTCAAAATCTAAAGAAGGTTGTTTAGAAACCTTGTGGCACATTATGTGCACCAATTCTCCATATTTAATTTTTGCAGTGTGCTTGGTTCTTCACAAGCATTCACCATTATTATCAAATCACATGTGAGAATAGACTGGCTGTTCTGTGAACTGAACTTATGGGTCCCTCATACAGGGAGGACAGCAGGGAGTTTATCATTGTGATTGTGTGTGAAACTAATACTCTGATTGCCAAAATCAGAAGACAAAACTATTGTGTTGTCAAACTCAAGGCACTCAGCTTAAAAAAAAAAAAAAAAAAAAAAAAAAAAAATTTTTTTTTTTTTTTTTTTTTTTACGCGCACACTTTTTTCTTCCCTTAATTTGTAAAATTTGAATACTTGGAAATTTTACTTAACACTAGCTGGTCAGTTTAAAAAAATGCTGTTACAAATTTTTAAAAGACCTGACAAATACAGAACAAGAATTTCAAGTGGTTGGCCCAAGAAAAATTGTCGGCATTGTCAGATTCAACGGGGTGTCTGGCAAGACAACTTCTCAAACCAAATTAAGGTCCTTATGGGTTCAGAATGCACCTCAAGAATAAGACAAGAGATAAGAGAAAGGCTTTAAAAACTCTTCAGTACACACTTCTGTAGATGCCACAAAACAGTTCAGTTAAACTTTGAGGAGCAGCAAACATGGGAAATAGAAAAATGGAAGAGGGTTTTGTTCTCTGGAGTGGGGTGGGGGAAATGGATCATTCAATGTAGTCTGTATCAAGCCAATCCAAACAATCCTTCCTTTTAGCTGTAGTATGTGCTACACCGGGGCCACAGTTTTGAATTCAGAGTCACTTTCTCCGAGACTGGCTGCCACCCAAGGCTATAGAAGCCAGCCTGTGCTGTTATTTACCCATAATTGGGGGAATGAGAAGTGAATGTAATGGATCCAACTGGAATTCAAACTCGGCTCTTATTCCTCAATCCAAGCTGCTGTCCATTACTCCACTGTGTCTCTTTAATGGGATGGTCCAGATGCCTTCCAACATTACTGATAAAATATTATCCCACTAGACATTTTCCTCATGACAGTGGAGAATGTTCCAAGGAACAATGGAACTTCATGTTATATGGAGACGTTAAATCATAGCTGGTTATGTCAGCATATTGTATCGACTGAAAGCCCTCATTTGCACAAAAGGGACTGGATTTTTCAGCAGGACAACACTAGTCTATAAAGGACTTTTCCATGGTGAATAACAATTCTTTCAGACAATCCAGCATGTTCACTGGACTTGAATCCCATTGAAAATGTCTGGCAAGAGAAGTCTATGGAAATGGACGTCAATTCCAAACAGTTTTCAATCTTCATGAAGCCATCTTAACTAACTGGAACATTCCAGCCAGCCTTCTGCAGATGCTTGTATCAACCATGTGAAAGTGGATTTTTGAAGTTATTCACAATGACTATCCTGTGACTCACTACTGAGGTGTCATGTCAAGTATTTCTTACTTAAAGACTTTAGGTATGGTCTTAAACTTTTTACCAGCTAGCATTTAACCTAATTTGCCAGTATCCAAATTTTCCTCTATAAAACTGAAAATTTTTTTTACTTTTATTTTCATTTTTTGAAGCTCTACTCAAAGTGGTGGAGTCTGATGAGGTAATTTTTTGTTTTCCTTTATTTTCATTGGCCAATAGTGTAGATGCAGGCTTAAATTCGTTTTCTCATATTCCTTTCATAGAATATAAAGAAATGTAGATATAAATGTATGAATATCCTTGAAGCTTAAGATTAAAAAAAAAAAAAAAAGTCAACTTTGAAATATGTAAATTTTTAATATTTGTTATTTTGTGTATTTTATGCAGCTTATCTGAAAGTGACCTAAAAACAAGAACTTGATGTGCAGAGGTTTCATAAAGTATCCAGTCAAACCCAAATTCAATATTGTTGGGTTTGAAGTCCATTTCACTATCAGTAGGAAAATAAAAGCAAGTAAAAAAATAAGTTGTGTGTGTAATTTAAAGTATATTTCAAATATGATGACCTGCTTAGATTTGTCTAGACTGTCGAGCACTTAAATGGACATGGTGTTTTTGGAGGTTGCACTTGGGAACCCCCCACCCTTGACTTATGCTAGAGTGTCAGCAATCAAGCATTTTTGTACCCCCCACCATAAATGGTCAATATTCTGAATACTAGAGATTTTACATTTTAGGTTTACCATGATGATAGGTAGATAGAACCAATACTGGCCACATGCTGATTGGCATAAAAGACACGGTGGGGTGGCTGGCTTGGTTGGAAGAGACAACTTGTTAGGAATTATTTTATATAAAAGAAATATACTCTTAAGGTGTGCTACATTTATGCGATAAAGTGCTCAATATCAGAGAGCATGTGTAAATATAAAAGTGAACATTGAAGTCAACACTTAGAGGCAACAGGCTGTTTCATGCTGGATGCAATTGTCAGAACATGATTGCACCTAGCATGAAACAGCCTGTCACCTCTAAGTGTTGACTTCAAATGTTCACTGTGTGTGGGCCACTATAACTGCAAGAGGGTTGTTCATGAAAACCCAGCATGCGTTCAGGTAAATAGGTTTATGGGGGGGAATGTTAAGACAGTGTCATTTGTTCAAAGCTCACAAAAAAAAAAAAAAAAAAAAAAAATCTGTATTTCCGAGATGAGGCATTGTAACTATACTATTTTACATTCAGACAGTTGTCCTCATCTTTGCCATGATCATATTTCAGGCATTGTATGCTCCACCCTTCTTCAGGTTATACACATTGGAATTTTGCGGACTGGAAAGGTTCAGTTCAAAATTCCTTATTTTGTCATCTGAAGGCCAGAGCGCACAATGACTGAAATGATATATGACAAAAATGAGGACAAAAGTGATCAATGTAAATTAATTATATATATATATATATAAAAAGGTAAAAATAACAAGGAGAAAAAAATGGGTACAAAAGACCAGTGGAAAAATGATTGTTGGTAAACTATCTGTAGCTTTCTACTAAACCATCTCAAAATTACTGTCTACAGGTAAGGAAAAAGCAGTCAGTTAACACTTCCTCTACCTATTAACGAATCCAACCACCACTTGTCCAAATAAGAATTATTTGAACTATGAGAGTTGTCTCAATCTTCCAATTGCCAGTCACTGTAATGTCATCCTCTTAGAACACATGATACAACTAACTATGAATAAAGGATAACTTATATTTAACAAATTGTTATAAATATTTGAGCAAGAAAAAGTTTATGAATCACATCCATTAGCTAACCAATCTGTATGGTTTGTTATTTTTATAAAATAGTGACTATAAAATCCATGCTTTATCTGAATGAGAACTTTTAGTTCTAACTTGCCTGTATATTAAAATGAAGATAAGCATGTATTTAATAACATCTTCAAATGATAAAAAAAAAAAGGTCCCAATTTTTTTTCCCCCGAAAGACAACTAAGTCTAATGTACATTTGTTTTGTTGAACCATACAGTTCAAGCTTCCTTCAAATGAAATCAATAAAAATGTTTAGACCATAAAACTAATGTTAAAAAAAAAAAAAAAAAAAAAAAAAAAAAATAATGGTGATGGGGAGGAATTTCCAATATAGCAGAAACATCCAGTTTTTGCTTCATAACTTTGTAGTACAAGAAAATGAATGCAAGTTGGTATTGTACATACAAGAGTTGAAGTTATGGAGAGGGGGGTAGAAAAGTGGGGGTGGGGAATGGTGCATATTATCATTGGACTAATTCTTTCAGTGTAGTTTTGTCTTTGCTAGTCCTTTCCTGTTCAGAATTTGTCTCAAGCGAACTTGATAGTTTTGCAGTGTCTGGTATAGAATTATCAGAAACATCACAGGTGCCAACATCAGATTCTTTATCACAATCACTCTTGTTTGTTTCCGATTCCATGGACTTTGCAGACCCCACAGAAGGATCGGCAACATTTTTCACTTCAGCAGTTTTAGGTGATGACAAGTCCTGTGAGGATAAAAGTACATCTTCATTGGTAGAACTTTGTGCTTCACTGTCATCCTGCTTTTTTTTGCCCTCTTCCAGGTCTGCAGATGTGGGTGAAGCAGACACTTCTGATGAGGATTCTTTGCTCTCACCGGAGACATTTGACACCAACTGACCTACTACATTCTGGTCACATTGTTCAGGTTTACCAGAGTCACCACTTTCATGATTTGCTATCCCAGCAGCATCCTTAGTATCTTGTGTTTGAACAGATTTACAGGGAGAATACAATGTCTGCACAGGATTGTAGATGGGAATAGGAGGTATTGCAGGAAGAATGCACTCCACTTCTTCTCCTGATGTGGTCAACTCCAACATTTCCATTAGTTCAGAGAGTTTCTGTGCCTTTCTCATTTCATTTTGATAAATTATCGTGTAGAGATGTTCTGTGAGTTTCTCTTTAGTTTCAGCTCGACGGAATAAATCCATTTTAGCTTCCACAAATTCTTTTTCTGCTCTTTCATAACGCTTTCTGCAAAGAAAACAAATTGTCTTTATACATTTCTCAATGATAGAAAAAAAAAAAAAAAAAAAAACTCCAAGTATAAAAAGTAAACATTTAATTCTTAAACATGTGTAAAATTCTGTTTAAAATTAATACATTAAGACAAAAGCAGTGTCCAAAATATGTTGGAAGAATAATTGAGTAAAATTTTAATTAACAGTATTTCAGTGTTAAAAAAAAAAAAAAAAAAAAAAAAAAAAAAAAAAAAACACAAACCCCAAATGTTTCTTATTTTGAGAGTCCAGCCCATCTGTAATACCAAAAGACCATATTAGAAAGTATATATATATATATATATATATATATATATATGTGTGTGTGTAACTCCATTGTCTTGTAAGCAGCTTAAGTTTGGCCCAGAGAAAAAGGTTTAGGAACCAACAAGTTAGAATGAAAAACAGTCACTGAAACAAAGTAAAATATATGAAAGGAATAAATGATAGGTAAAAAGTTAACACAAAAAAGGTTAACTTGAGTAAGATATTCTTGATTATCAAATATTGAGTGGTTGGCATGGGGGGGGCAAAAAAAAACAAAAAGTGAATGTATTATATCCCATAATAGTTACTGTGGGCATGTTCATATTTCAATCACACAATCATAATTATAGAAAAAAAATCTTCAACCAGAATCCTATATCCAAACCTTCCATAAACAGTGGTGTACAACTGTCAAAGAATATAATCATTTTAAAATTAAACTAATCTTAAAGACATTTCTTTTGCACATTTAATTCACATAATGCAAGAATATGAAGAGGTTTTAACAATAAATTTATAGTGCAAGTAGCAGAACAAAAATGTTATAACATTTGGCACTATTTGCTAGCAGTAGGAAAAAAAAAAAAAAAAAAAAAAAAAAAAAAAATTGGTTCATTATCACCCAATTCAGTCCTCCCCAGTCTTTTGAACAGGAGTACAGGTTTATCATTGGTTTCCTGTTTAGGATTGGTTTCAGTTCCCAACATTATCTCCTTTCACTCCCAGTAGCCACTTGCGTCTTTGTAGCATTATCATCGTTTGGGATGAATGAGAAAAAAAGTAAATGCGAAACTTTTTTTTTAGGAATGTAGACATGTGACTTGTTACATGGAATATAAAAAAGACAAAGTAAATATAAAAAAAAAAAAAAAAAAAAAAAGATTGATGAAATTCAGAATGTCACAGTTAATATCACCATATAAAAAGGAGAATTTATTTCCATATACAGGACATTATTTACATTTGAAGTAATTGTGTGCCTTGTATAGACATTCCATTGGTGCATTTTGTTCTGGAAGTTATAACGCCTGTCATGCTGTGGTTTTTGAGGCTATGGCCTTGTCATTCAGTTTTGTTTTCTATCTTCACTGTTAAGAGAACAATCCATTAACTGTTAATCGTTTCCTTATTTTTCTACATGAATATGAATACTAGTTACAATAAAAACATATAGAGGGCTCAAACACAAAAGTCACTCAGTCAATTAGTAACGATTTAGTTAAATATTTAAGTGTACACCAGTTATTTGAGGGTTTGAGAAAATCCTATTTGCTTGGAGAAAAATTATTTCAATCAAGAAATATGAAAAAAGTTCTAATTAAAGTTATTCATCATGATTTCATTTTTGGAGGCCAGGGATTTTCATAGTAAAAAAATATAAAAAGACATACCAAACAAACAAAAAAACTTTATTCATATATACAGGGTGTGATGGCTAAATTGTCACCATTTTATATTTTTAATTTCACACACGCATGTTTGTTTTTGTTGACTACACAGTATAGTAGGGTCAGTTGGGCACTGTCAGTTAGGAAAAAAACCCAAGAGCACTATGATGCAATGCACTCACTACAAATTGGGAAACTACATGCTGTACTACTTGGCATTCACACCAGAAGCTCCAATATGTGTTTGGGTGTCAATATGAGGACAGTGCAGCATATTCGGAAAGAGTTGGACACGTCTAATGGTGATTACAGAAAGGTGTTTGGAGTGATCAGATATGTTGACATCATGCCACAGTTCTTCTGAGTCAACACAGAGGCCTACATGTGCCTTGAGATGGTAGTGCTGCCCTGAGCCAAGAGGGTGGCTGCTGGAAGATCCTATGTCTGGCAACAAGACCTTGCCCCATACCACACAAGCAGGAGAACCCAGTCATGGTTGTCAGACAATTTCTGCAGCCACATCACCCCTTAAATCTGGCCATCTAACTCCCCAGGCTGCAACCCCACTTGATTATGTGTGAGGTGCAGTTGAGGAAGAAACCAACAAAACTCCTTGTAACACCAAAGATGAACTGAAGGCAAGGATTATGCCAGCATTCACCAACTTAAACAAGGAGACTGTCCAGACGAGTTCAAGAATATTCCTAAATCATCTGGAGGACATGGTTGAAGCCAATGACAATTTTATTGAATAAATTTATTCGTTTGTATTTCAGGATATTGTGTAATTTTGATAAATATCTGTTAAAGTGAAACTTCAGTATTTTCATTTTTGCATAATTTAGTCAGTTTATCCATTGCACCCAGTACAGTATATCTAGCTGGCCACTGATACTTTAGTATACCCGTTTGCTAAGGCTGTGAGCTCATTCTTGTTGTAGATTCCAGCTCAGGCACATTTGTGTGTTCAACACCTACAGAGCCTGCCTGTGGTTTATATTGAAACTATGAAGAGTAAGAGTAACCCAGTTTTACTCAAGGCAGGGATCAACCTATAGTATGGTTTTTGAACCACTTCCAAGAGCATCACATTACAGATTGGAGACAATTACCTTATATTATAAACACAAATCAACCATGGTAGGATTTGAACCCAGGTCTCAAGCTTGGAATGCTAGTGTTCTAACCACTCCATGTGTCCAGCTGGCATATGCAAAAGGAAGACTAAATGACTTACTGAGATTCTGTATACTCCAAACTGGCCGTTTCAATCCTGTCCCGAATAATTGATACATCAGTGGTCAATAGGTTGTCTAATCGAGACAATTCTTTTTGAAGATCAGTTAATAAATGAGCCTCAGTCTCAGCTCTGGCACGCCTATTAAAAAAAAAAAAAAAAAAAAAAAATTTACAAAATGGTTTTACAGTCAAATTTATTGGGAAATAGGTGTGATATATATATATATATATATATATATATATATATATATATATATAATAAAATACACATTTTTTTTTTGGTGGGGAGAGTCACTGAAAAAATCCAAATTTCATTGTTAAACTGCATTTTGAATTAAAAAATTGTCTAAACTTAAGTTTTAACCATATAATCAACAAAAATACAGATAATATTGATCCCAAAATAGGATGTCAAACTAAATCAATTTTTAGTCAACTGATTTGTTTTAACAGCTTTTCTATTACTATAAGATATGCATTGCTTAGAAATTTTCTACCAATTTTAAAAGAAAGTGTGCATATAGATGAATTAATCACTGCATAAAATTATGAGCATTTATGTTGTAAATTTTTATTACATAACATTTACCAGAGTTATTCCCCTTGTTCACTTCGAAAATATAAATTATTTATTATTTATTTTAAGTAGCTAATAAGATAATTAGGAATAAGCACACCATTATCTTCAAAAATTTAGATTTTAGAGAATATTCCTTTTGAAATAAAAAATTGATTTTTCTCATGGACTTTCGTATTTTGTCATGCAATAGTTAGAAAAATATTGTTAAATTGTGACAAACATTTAAACTTTAATAGATTGGCACTGGTTCATTTGTATCACATAAGTTCTTAAACTTATAAGAGACTAGACAAATGGAACTTTTATATATTTGCTCTCAGGAAGCATTCATGTACACAAAAAACAAAGGGAAAGATTGCTTACTCTATAATATTTAAGCAAGTACTTAAAAATAAGTTTAAACTCATGACAACAGTAACATTGCATAAAAAATTATATATTTTTTTTTTTTTCTCAATAATTTTGCAATAAAATAGTTTATCACCAGTATATATATATATATATATATATATATATATATATATATCAAACACCTATTTCCAATCAATATAATTTCTGTTTCAAGTAGAGTATTTTGCTGACTGGAAACAGTAAATTTAAAATTTAATGATTATTCTACTGGGTATTGTAGCTGGATAGTTTGATAAAAAAAAAAAGAAAAAGAAAAAAGGCCATTGTAATTTTTAGTAATAGGTGTTTGATAGTGCATTTAATACATTGAAATCTTTGCAAAATAGTTATAGGCAAAAGTGGAGAATAGATTAGAATCTCAGTTGGCTAGTTCATGTTAAATATCTTACATTTGAGCAAGTGAGTGACTACACCAATCTGCCAGAGTGGTTAGCTAATCCCTACTGCAGACGCCTGCTTAGGCACATTGTCCAAAACTCACAGAACTGACCTGTGGTTTATACTGCAATTATGCCGAGCAGACTGTACTTACATTCTGTGAGCGAGTGCACATTATCTGGCATAAGTGAGCAAGGCCAGCATATTCAAACCTTCAGTCACTGTTCTTGCAGAAGAAATGGCTGCTTCCAAACAGTTAATCTATCCACATTCCCCTTCAAGGGTTAGGTCAACCCATGGTATGATTGTCGGGCCCTTCCCAACAGTGCAACAGGTCGAGATCACCTCCCTGACAAATTAAGTATTGTGAGATTTAAAGCCAAGCAACTATTCTTGCCACATGCCAAATATAATAAAACAATGCATTGTTACCCTTATTGTATAATGAAAGGGGTTTCAAATCAGTGAGTGTTGATCACTCTTAAAAACAATTACAAAAATTCCATTTAGGAAAAGAAACAAGTACTACATATAAAATACACACAAACTAAAAAATAAAGTTTACAATACAAAGCTTGATAGCCTCTCAAGGTAGAGGGCTACTGGATGAGGTGTGTGTTATGAATATATGAAAATGTGGTAAGCAGTAAAGATAAGGACAGATAATGACTGACCCTTGGTTTTAAGTGGTAATGTTCAAGGAAGCATCCACAAAGCAGCAGTTTTTTTTTTGGGGGGAAATGTTGAAGCTGTCTAAGTGGAACTTCCTCCTTACAATTGGAATACAAAGGAGAGGAGAGTAAATTTGACTCTCGATATAGTATGGCATGTCCAAGTTGTAAAGGTCTGAATTGGAGGAAGTAAATGGAGCTCATTTGAACATTTGACAAGGAAATAGTGACCGAGAAATGACAGGCTTGCAAATTTGCATCTGTCAGAGTGGTTGCAGTATGAAAAAAAAAAAAAAAAAATCATCATCCACTCCTTTTTCTGGTCTTGATTTTTGTCAAGATGACAAATCAGCTACTTTTTGGAGTGATTGAATGAGCTGATCATTTCTCACATCTTCAGCAATGGATTGTATATTGGAGTTCCACTTAATATTTGGAGTGAACTCAAGACCCAGTAGATGTTCAAAGTACAAAGCCTCTGGAAGAATGCAACAATTCATCGTGACTGGAGAAAACTTAATTGGAAATTATACAGCATGCACCATAAGTTATTCAGTAGTACTAATTAGTCTATATGATTTTTCATCATATTTCACCTGCTTATCACAATTATTTAGGTGACCATTCTATGCCATGAGTTTTTTAACCATTGGCTTTTTTCAATGCATTCAGTGAAGCAGCTTTCACACTAAGACTTCTTTTTGAAGAGAAAAAAAAAAAAAATTATTGAAAGCACATTCTGGTGTGCAGTTTAGTAACATCTGTAAGATAAACCTGATTATTTGTAATAAAAAGCAACGTATCAAAAAATAGTTAAAATATAATTTACAAAGTTTCATCTAACAATAAAATTCAAACTGATGTCCCCTCCATGAATAATAAAATAAAACTTAGCTGTGGAATAACTTACCTTTCTTTTATTGCCTGTGCAAGAAGATTTTTAGTTTGTTTGTTCTTTTCTTCAATTAACTTCTGTTGGTGCTGAAATTTTTTGATTTGATTTAATTCTCGGCTGGAGAGGGGGGGAAAACAAAACAAAACACTTAAGGATAGGTTTGCATTTTATACACCATGATTATATAAAAAGGTAAAGCAATTCCAATTTTTATCCATAAAATAACCAATTATCCTTTGACGTCACCTTTAATTATACACATGTATGATTTATTGTTAAAGTCTCGAGTATCTGCAAGCAAATCTACAAAGAAAAAAGGCTCAGTAGTTTGAAGGCAAGTATTCAATAACCATTTAAAATGACAAAGTTAAAGCCATATTTGTTTGACAAAAAAAAAAGAAAAAAAAAAAGGAAGTTATTTTCCAATGTTCAAATTTTTTTTTGTGTTGCTACTATAATGTAGCAAGTAGCTTACGAGAATATTTTACAACACATGAAATAATGGTGAAATGAATGATACATGCACAAAATAACAGACTTATGATTTGTCCTGGAAAGTAAATTGCATAAACAAAAATTGTTAAATATATTTGAGTGTGACTTGCCTACACAAGTATTTGTTTGAAATATCCACAGCCCTTTTGCTTCAGTGTGAATAGATCATGGCAAACACTTTGAAAGGAAGAAAACAGGAAGAGAGATAGCTACTTAAGGATTCACTTATTTTTATGCCCCTAGGGTTGCTGCTGATACTATGTTTAAGGCCCTACAGTGTAGGGTTTTGATGAAAGTTAACTTTCATAAAGTAACAATCACAGGGTAATTTGTACATTAAATATTTACAAACAAAGTAACAAAAATGTTAAAATTTACAACAATTTAAGCAAGATTAAAAAAATAAGTTAAAAATTACAGAATTTAAAAAAAAAAAAAAAATCATTTTAAGTCAACAAAATGATAGGGTCTTCTACTGGTATGCAATTTTAACAGCCTTCTGGATGAAGAAAGGTAGAAAGTTTTGAAAAATAAAATCAACACGTTACAAACTAGAGATTAAAACCTGGAATTAATCCAAAATTTACTAACAAAATCCAGTTGTACACATAACTAACAATGGGTTTCCATTTATAACAAGAGCCACAAGATTTGTTATCACGTAAAACAGCCGGTTTTAGAAAGGAGCAATTCATGAATATTATGGTAGAACTGTAAAGCATAAACAGTATTTCAGTGAAGTTTTTACTTCTAGCTCTAAGATAAGAAAAAGAAATATTTCAGGGAAAGTTGATAAAAGCTGAACAAAAAGGATTTATTTGTTAAGTCTAGTTTCTTTTTTGGAAGGGTGAGAAATGAAGAATAATTGGTCACATGATTAGCAATAATCACAGCAAGGCTAAGTCAGATAACCTTGCAGAAGGAGCAAGTCAATTTCTAGTATTAATTGAACTTCTACAAGAATAGTAGAAATAATTCAAATACCTAATTCCTACAAGGACTATAGACATCGCAAGCAGCGAGTCTTAATAGAAGAGATGACAAATCATATCCATTCACTTAAAGCTGGATAAGGGATAGCAATTTTTCAACTCCACTCTTAAAAGCTACAGCATTCAGATATTTTCAAATAGGTTTGGTTAAATAATTTAGACATTAACCATACTAAATTTACTAATTTGCATTGACAATAACTGTTCATGCATTTTAAATACGCTTAATTTAATATCAAGCTTTTATAATAAAGTATACTTTAATAAATGTGCAAACAGTTTGAGAATTCAGCTTGTCCACAACAATGAACAACCAAACCTGGCCCAAAATTTACAGAAAAAAAAAAAAAAAAAAAAAAAAACTAAAAACTTATCAAATATTTATAAGAAATACTTTGGCTCCATAAATCTAAAAATTAGAACACAGTATTGGTTAAATATTTTTCCAATTTTTAAAAATCTATTATTAGGAGGGAAAAAATATTGATAATCATTTTCTGGATTGATCTTACAAATTTCATAGACTATAGCCAAAACAGTTATCTGAAAATGTTAAAAGCACATTGTGATAACATCACTGACTGGTTGATATGTGAATGTAAAAATTCAAATTGGAACCTACATTTTGCACAAGAATTTTGAACTAATTTTATTACTTAAATTTATTGAATTTTTCTACAATTCTTTAACATGTTCCATACATCCACTTGATAAAGTATGGACCTATGTCCCAATGTCCCATCCTCACTTATGGTTTAAATAGTAAGACTTGGAGAGGGGAGGGGCTAATTTGCAGTGTAGGGCACATACTCAATTTCTATTAATAATTTTCCAAATGGTTACATTTACGTGCAAGTGTAATCTGAAAATAATTTCAAAAATTTGATGAAATCTACCATTTTGGAGTTAATTCTTAATTCTTTTTCTGGCATTTTTTTGTATTTTGTAAATAATCATGCTCTTTTAAAATCTTAAAAATTTAAATTTGTAAAGAAGAAAAAAAAAAAAAAAAAAAAAGTTATTAATTCCTTTTCTAGGATTTTTAAAATAATTTGTGCACAGTTGCTTTTTTAAACTTCATGCAGAATTTGCGGCGTAATAAGACAAGTGAAGCTTCTATGCATAGCTAGTCAGCAAGTTTATGTAATGACTGCCTTATCGTCATGACACAAAGGAGTCCAAACTAAGTGTCGATAACTCCAAAACAGTAAGATTTTTATCAAATCTGTCTTTTTCAAATTCAGCATGTGCATTTACACATAATGTAACAATTTGGGAAATTTTTAATATAGAAATTGAGCATGGGTCCCTACACCACAAATTAGCCAAAAGTTCAGAAAATTATTAATGTAATATTTAAGCCCCGAAATTGTTACAACAAAAAAAGTTTTGCACTAAATGACCCAGAAATAAGCTATAAATCCAATAACTTCCTGATAAAGGCCAGAATATGAAGGTGCCATATATATATATATATATCTCTTGACTATACTGTTTTTAGTATTGCCTCCACACACTTCCATGCCAATAGCCTACATGTAATTAAGAGAACCAAAAGTTATGGAGGAGAAAAAGAAAAAGTGAATCTAAAGTAAAATGGCAGGTGATTACTTACGAAAGAGCTTCTTCCTCGTTCAACTCCCTGGAAGATTCAGTACTGTCCAAAGAGTTATTCACCAATTTCTCATCATTTCCAAAGGAATTAGAGTTGGTCCGTGAAATCTGTCGTTCAATGGGTTTTGATGGCTTCAGTACCGACTTGGGTGGGGTCATTGCATTTTTGGGTTTTACAGGGTGAGATTTTGTTTCATCTTTTCCACCTGTGGCTGCAGATCCTGCATCTCCATTTGACATACTATCAGGTTTCAGCATTTGATCAACTGGCATTACTTCTACAACATCAGAAAGGGTCACTCGCTTCTTCTGCTGACCAAATCCCCGGTCTCGATTTTTGCCCTTTTGCTTCCCCAAATTAGCCTGTTTTTTAGGAGTGCTCCCAGGAGGCTTACCTAAGAAAAAGAGGGAAAAATCATTAGCAAGAGTACAAAAATCTAATGAAAAAAATCCTTCAATCTGCTTCATCTTGTACGTAGCAAAATCAAAATGGTTTATAGAAGAGAATAACAGTTCTCGATTGGTTCAGATGAAAATCCAATAAAATTGTTAGAGAACCATAAAGGAGATTAAGAAATACTATCCATCAAATCTTAGAGAATTGAAGTAAGTCATTACTGATGTGTGGCCACCAGTGACATCAGATGGTCAGATTAATCAGCCACTATAATGGAGGAAAAAAAAAAAAAAAAAAAAAAAAAAAAAAAAAAAGTGCTGTTTGTGAATGTCAAAAATTGATAAACTTCACAGGATATGTGCAGCAAAGTACAATGGTTTTAATGATCAGAAAAACAGATATTTTCACAAAAAGACCACATTTTAGCTACCCGCTACTCATAGCTTTTGTTGCACAGAACACAATGTTAACATTTTTTCAGTTCATCTAGTTTAGCATTCAGCTCCTCTTCCAATTTTGATATCTATGAACTTGTCTGTTGCAGATCTTTGTATGTCATTGGACTGTTATAAAAATATCTGCAAGAAAGGAAGCAATAGTTTATCACTGTCCCACTGGAAATAAAATGTTAGTCATTCACATGTTTGTACATTTTCTAGCCATCTATGGCAGAAAAACAAAAGTAATTAAAAAGAGACAATGTTGCTAGATTGAACTTTTAATATAAAGTCAAATAAGTCTTAATACATTTCATAACTTTTTCATAATTACGAAAAGGTAAGATACAGGTCATTACGTGCCTGCAAACTTGAAAGACATTTAAAAAAGATGCATTTTCTATCCTAAGACAAATCAAAAGGCACATTTTCTATTTTATCATCCTTCCCATCTACATTTTCTTTGAGAGTCAAATTTCATTCTCAAACTTGTTACTTTTGGCAACAATTTAGGCAAACTTAGTTTACAGATACACATTGGACATGTAAAATATTAGTTTTAACATGAACTCCCCCACAGATGATTAGAGATCAAGAGGACTTTTGGAATTGAGAAGTGAATAAAATTTCAATTGTTCAAAATGTAAAAAAATTGAGATTCAACTCAAATATATTTTATTACTGTAAAATAATTATTTTCCTTTCAACTACAAATTCAATGAGTGAATTAATTTCTTTGACAGATGTTTGACAACTTAGCTTTGCTTTTCCTCTTGAGTAGTTGCAGGGGGGGGTAGCAGCTAGAAGACACCATGTTCTTTCTCAGATGAGAAAATACAGAAGTAACTGAGGTCACAAATTAATTCTAATCAAGGAAACAAACATTGACTTTCATGAATTGAGGAAAAAGTACATGCGACCAGCCCAATTTAGAAAATTCCAGGACTTTTCAATGACTCTAGAAGGAACCGGAAACCCAATCCTAAACAGAAAACAAGGGATAAAGGACAGGAGGAGTGTGAACTGGACAATAAGTTAACCTATCTACACCTTAGGTGGAGATGTCAGGAACAGAGAATTGAAGACCTAAGTCAAACAAACCCAATGAGGGATAAACCTCTAATCCTGTTCAAAGTACTTTGGAAGTGTGAACCAGATTATTGTTCAGCATTCAATGCCATATAGAAAGAGTGATATAGCAAGTCATGGAATTTGAGTAATTGCTCAATTTTGGTATCTGCAATTTGTAGCTCACATCTGTAGTTTATCTTGCCAATGATCATACATTGGCTTACAAATAATGAGGGGTCTTTCTTTCCTGCTTTCCTTTACTGCCTTGACTACGGAGTTCCTTTCATTTACTTTCTGGTCTGCCATCAACAGTGTCATCTATGTATCTTAAGGTGTGTCCACTGATATAAATCCTTAGGACCATTTCACAGTATAGGTTAAACAGATCTGGTGACAAGATGCATCCTTGTCTTATGCCCCCTTTTCTATTTGTGTACTGGCTCAATTCATTTATCTATAATATTCTGGATTATTGTAATATCTTTCCCAAATAAGACTTTCCTAGTGGTTTAAATGCTTTTGCATTGTCTATAAACACATTGGTACATGTCCTTCTGCACTTGTTTTGTCCATCGATATCTTTCTGATCATAAATGCATTTTTTTTTCTCCAGCGTCTTCGATGAAACTATACAATTCTTGACCCATTTCTAGTATAATTCTGCTATGCACTCTTTATCAGAAAATTTGTTATACAGCCAAGGCTATAAGCTGAGTGTCCATTTGCACCTGACTTAGGTAGCACTAAATATCTGGGACAGTGCAGCACTGAAAGCTGAAGGCACATTGGGATAGCAAAAAAGATCCAGTCCACAAGCCAAGCAGAGTTTTAAACAAAATTTGTTAGAAACAAAGAAAAAGGGTACTGGAGTTATGTTATATCTGTATCCCTATATGGCAGTGAATGCTGGACAATTTCAAAGATGAGACTTGAAGCAACAGAAATGTTGCTCTACAGAAGGATGCTAAAGATACCATGGACCAAATATATTGAGCAATGACAAACTTAGGGAAAATGGAAAACAAAAACTAACTTATCAGGAAGAGAGTTAAAGTTTCTAGAGCACATAATGAGGAAAGATGGCTTGACAAATTTGATAATCACAGGACAGATTGAAGGAATGAAAGAAGAAAATAAGACATACTAAGTGAGCTTAAGTAAATGGATGGCAGAACAGTTTAGAAGAAATAAAGACAAGAGCTGCAAAGGACAGGAAATTGTGGACAGTCATGATTACCTACATCCTTAGGGGACATGGCACAAACAGGAAAGTGGATCTAGTAAGGTCTTCCAGTATTTTGCCACTGTTGTATATTTTATTTCTATAATCTTGTCAATAGACAAAATTTTCTAAGGCCAATAGCATCTATTACAAACTCATCTGATTCTGTTCATCTTGCCCAGTACCCTCAGACATCAATATTTGAGGTCCTTCCATATTTGTGTTGCAGAGAGTTCTGATGTGACATAATTGAGGTATCAATGTCAATTGAGCTGTCAATGGTCATATCTTGTCCTAGTTTTCTTTTAAATATATGCAGCTTCCCACCTTGCTTGGGGTTGAATGCTTTAAAAAAAAAAAAAAAAATCTACTGTATATTAATTATTTCTGCAAATTTTTCATCATACCATTCATTTTTTTTTTTTTTTACCTACCTGCATTTATATCTAACATTTGTTCTATATTCTGTACCATTTGTTTACATTACTTCCAGACTTTTATAGTCAATAATTTCAGGTCATCCACTTTTTGCATTTTTCTTTCCTTGGGTGATCTTGTTCACTACTATAGTAGTGTTACTACTGTTTAATGAATTTCACTTTGAATTTCCACCCAAGTTATATTTAACTTGGAGCCTACATTTCATTGCAAGCCAAGTCACTCTGGTGTTGTAGCTTAGGCATTGTTTTGCCTAGTTTTAACCTGGATTTACATACAACTGGAAAGGTGGGGTTGCTCACAGAGTTAGTATTTGGATAAGTTTTATACTTTAGAACTGCATTCCCGAGTCTTCTCCATTGTTATATAGTCAATATGGTTCCATTTTTCTGGGATTCTCCATGCCTACATGCATGGGATCTTAGGCCAAACTTGTCATTTATTTCACTCTTTTTGTACTTCAGCATTTTAGATTTGCAATGAATTTCCTGCAATTTGCATAGATTCCTAGTATTATCCAGTGTGTTGTAAAATTTAGTAATTTCTTCCAGGCTTTGTACTGCTAGTATGTATACTACAGAAAGATATATTAAGCTGAAAGTTGTTTAACTAGAAATATTCCGACAGGCAGTTAATATCAGAATACATTTACTCATGCACCGAGGGCACCTCGGCATGGTGTAATGGTTAGCAAGCTTGTCTCACTAGATCAGTTGACTGTAAAGAGTTCGATCCTCACTAGATGCCCCCATACTTTTGGCCTTGTGCCAAGTCTAGGCTATGCTTAGAAAATAAGCATTTATTCATGTACAGGTCTAGTAGGTGTCCTTTCATTTTTCTTTCTGCTTGTAATAAGTCCCCATTATTCCCCCTTCCTCTACTTTCACATATGCCTAGAAAGTTAATATTTAACCCATTCATTTCTTGCTTGATATTTCATCTTTTCTAAATTAGAACTTTACAGTTTCCAAAATATTTTACCTAAAATATTTACAAGTTTATTTACAATCCCTGACAAAAGTTTAGATTTAAACTTTAGAGGATTAAGACCTCCCCCCCCTCAAAAAAAAAAAAAAAAAAAAAAAAAAAAACCCGAGAACCTTGTCTTTCAGATAAAGTATAGCATAGAAAATGGCTCCATACTTGAGATACCACTGTTGTGTCCTTATAGGTGCCTAACATGAAATGCAAGTTAGACTTTTACTACACCATTGCTAGTCTAGGGAGTTTAATATATTCATTTGCCAATTGTAGAATTTCCTTTTACCAGACTTGAATACAGTTGAAGGGTATGAATAATTAAGGATCCTAAAAAGAAATATTTATCAAGATCTGGTCCCATATTATGCCAAGAATTTAACAATGAGAGTAGAGACACATACACAGCAGGGGAAACACATTGAGGAGAAAAGTAATTACTTTTCTATATTTAAGTTTGCAAATTGATAAAATCCTTAAACTAATTACTTTAAGTGGAATGGACCACTTATGAATAAGATCAATATCTCACAATTAGTAAGATTAGCCCTTATATTTAAATTAGGTACCAACAATTTGCTAAAACAAATTAGCATACCATAAAATATCCAAAATATTTTTCTGAAAGTGAGGACTATTAAAGTAGCTGTTAAGGTTTTGGCAGGTTTGACGGTTTGTTGACAGTCATGTATTGTACGAGGAGTGTATTAGAAAAACTGAATTAAAGTGCATTTTAAATTTTAAATACTCAGTAATAAAAATAAAAAAATAACGAAATTATATTTTGTGCACATGTTTAAAAATGTTTTAAGATAAATGTTAAAAACGTTGAATTCAGAAAATTTAAATATC